AGATTCACAAAGTGCTGCGCCTGCCACGAAATCTGCACATCGAGATTTACAAAGTGCTGCGCCTGCCACGAAATCTGCACATCGGAGATCCAAAATGAGCAAATTGCACGAGGCTTTCGCAAATTTTGAAATGCGTTTCAGAAATGCTGCGCCTGCCACGAAATCATGCCTGCAGGTCATACGAAATGCTGCACTGGCCACGCAAAATCATCCTCAAGTTCAAATTCTAAAAATGCGACCCCTCTCACGAATTCAGCCGTTTCACCTCAAAATATCGCATCCATGGTGCGGATTCCCTGCGCCTGCCACGTGAAACGCAGTCCTGCGAGTGACACACGCCTGCCAACGTTTTTGCAACGTCCACAAAACACTGCGCCTGCCACGGAATTTGCAAAGTCTCCGATTCCTTGCACCTGCCACGTAAAATGACCTTTTCGAGGCTCCAATGTGTCGAATTCCTTGCGCCTGCCACGCAAAATGCACTTCATGTCCAAAAACGAGCACGGCACCTGCACAAGAGCTTTGTCCCGGAAGCGCGAAAACCGCGACACCCACTTTATGCGAGCCTGCGCAGTCGAAATGGACATGAGGAATTCAAAAAGTAACTTTTGTGCGAGCCGGCCCACGCAAAGTGCCGCAACCACACGCGCGAACCCTGATCTAAGCCCGGCCCTTAACTCTTACCGTAAGAACCCCTTAGTGCGGAGCACTATTTGGGGAAGAAAAAGGTGTCAGATTCGTGCGAAAAAATAAACTAACATGTCTATATAAGTGTGAAGGATGGTTTGGCTGCGCAGGTGCAGTGTTTTCATCAGGTCAGCACTTTGCGCCTTGCCAATAGGAGTGCAGAGGTGTTGAATGTCGCTGTGCAATTGGATTTGCTCTTGAAGCGCTTGCCTCAAGCTATGCTTTCATGACAAGTCTCAGGCAAATTTGCTCGAGGGGTGGCTTAGTCACTTTTCACTTTGGCAGACGCATGCAGACACATGCAAACGCAAAACTTTGCACGTTGGACGTGCTGGGAGTCCGTTTGCGTGGCAGGTGCAAATCATGAGGTTGCGATGTGCGGCGGCGCAGGTGAATGTGGCTGTGCCATTGGGATTGGCGTGTCTGCTGCTGCTCTTTCGAGGGTCTTGGATTGCAAAACTGCTTGGCAGGGATGCGTGAAACGTTTGCTCACATGAGGCTTCGCCCTTAAATTTGGAGGAAGTCTCACACGAAACGGAATGACTTGACGCGTGACTTTCGGAGGAAGTCTCGTATGAACCCACAAGAGTGTCCTGCAAGAACAAAAGACTTTTCTCGTGGAAGAGTGTCGGACAAGCGTGTCTTACAAGAGTGTGCTAAAAGAGCGTCACCCCAGAATGTCCTTCAACAGTGTCTTTGGAGAGAGTGTCAAGCAAGAGTGTCAAACAACGTTTGCCCGCTTGCGTGTCTGCGTGTGTGCATTCGAGTATATTCGGGTTCGTGGGCTCCATATTCTTTTAAGGCAGAACGCAAAAACGGCCTGTTTTTCGTAGGCGTAGAGCTGCAGCTTGTCTTCGGCTGACAGCGACACCGCCTTGGCCGCCTCACGTGCCAAGCGGAAGCGCTGCCGTAGGTCGGCGGCCCGCAGGTGCCGCTCGGAGCTGCGGTCTTCCTCTGCGCGTTCCGGGGCACTGAGGAACGGAAAAACACAGTTGGAAGACTGTAACTGCTGGAAACCAGTTTGAGATTCAGTTGGGGATTCAAGCAAAACAATTCAAACATATTGTGACATATATTACAAGCTGTTCAGCAGCTACTGTAAATAGATCTGCATGCGCGCACCGGAATGGAGCGTGCAATTGGAAGTTGCGCCAGTTGCGGCTGTATTGAGCTGCCATTGGCCTCAGTCAGTCACAAAGAGGACTGAATCGAGAGCCAGTCAGTCAGACACTCCCACAAAGCAACCACCAAACGAATATGGACACACACCTAAATGCTGCAAAGATTCTTTGTGCGCTGGTCCATCCTGCCTCGCACGCAACCTAAAGCAGGAGGATAATATTTCAGAAGTGATGTCAGGTGCCCTGTCGTGTGGCCTTTGCGGTCTTGCCTCAAGTCCCTAAAGATCCCGAGGGTTTGGGATTCTGCACCTCGCTTGTCGCAGAAATGCTCCAAGTAGCAGCTGCACTGCCCCACAAATGTTGCCACAGCACAGGATGCTGGAATTTTTGGGCGCCTCACACATTTCAAAGAGATGCCAGTGCCCAAGTCCACTACTTCCCCAGTTTTTGACTGATGAAGAAGAGGTAAGGTGAGGCGGTAAGGTGTCTCTTGAATAATGTTGGACCACTTCTAATCAACACATAACAGGAGTTGCATCCAATGGCCTTCCCGTACAATTCCAAGCCAACATTTCGAAACGAAGCTGCGACACCTCTGCAGGTGCAGGCACGCTGATTTCCTCGGGAACAAACTTGATTTGCGGTTGAGTCATTCGCTTTCAGCTCATGGACAATGAACTCACTGCAAAAGCGGTGCTCTTTACTGTGCTCTTTGGAAAGAACCCCTCAGGACCTACAAGTACAGCCTCTGTTGATTCAACAGAGCTACATGTACAGAGCGACTCTACAGTATCTTGTTACTAGTAGCGATGCCCTTGCTCCTAGTAGCTTCTTGTTCCTAGTAGTAAGGCCAGGAGATACTAGTAGCGTCCTTGCTCCTAGAAGCGATGCCCTTTGCTACTAGAAGGATCGGAAAAAACTTGCTATATAACTTGCTTCAAAACTTCCCTGGCTCAGCCCTTCAACAGTCGCAGCTGAGCTTCACTTCCCGTGGGCGGAGCCCTCTCGGAGCCTTCGGAGGAGGAAGACGGTGGTGGAAGACTGGCCGAGGGCGGCAAGGGCAAAGTTGACCCTGTCAACGCCACAGCCTCGGACGGAGAAAAAGCGCAAAGATTCGAGGAAGACGGAAGACGAAGGCCACAGAGGAAAACGGAAGACTTGAATTTTGTCCACAAGTAGCACATGTGGAACATCACCGATTCATTTTAGTTGGAAGATAGGTGAGCTTGGATCAGTCTGGGCCTATGGTGGCAAGGCATCCACTTGGGCCACGGGCCACGGGCGATAAGACCTTGAGACCATTCTTTGGAGGCGATAAGACCTCCAAAAGCTCGGCCACGAAAAACGTCGGCCCAGCCGTGCCGCCCTGCCTTGATGGGGGGCACAACTCCTGATCGAGGTCGGCGTCGCAATGTGGAAACATGAAGTTCATCGGCCAATTTCAGATGGAAAGGATTGCCTCTTCCAGGACGGCTTGCTGGTTTCAGGGGTCTCCTCAAGCTATGGCCACAAATGACTATCAACCAGACGTTATACGTTCCTTCAGCTTGAAAGAGCTTGCCTGTTCCCCGGTGTTGATGTGCTGGATTCTGATGGGAAGATCGAATCCTTGGAAGTCTTTTCCAACAGCCAAGGCTCCGTGAGCTTGTTTTCTTCTCTTCTTTCTCCAAGGCTCGATTTTCTCTTCATCCTCCAGCTTCTTCTTGTCATCATCTTTCTGGCCAGGAGGGCCACGAAGCAAGGTCGGCTTTGACCCACGCCTTTCGCAGGACACAACCCACAATTGTTGAAACGTCAGCCTCCAACATCTCAACCTGCCTGTTGTGGGCTGCAGGTCTCAGCGGCTCGGTGGGCTCATACACGCCTCAGGTTCAATCGTGTGCCGTCTGCTTTCTGAGAACTCAGAGTTTGTATCTGATTCGCTTCCACAAACAGCTTCAACTGCGTTCCGAACAACTTGCAAACAGGGGGGCCACCTCTGCGACATCCAGAAGAGTTACAGCCCATTCCATTCGGCGCAATGGCAAGTACAAAAAGTGGCTTCGCAACCAAAACGTCCACTTCTTTGGCAAACAACATCGTTGATTCTCTGCTGTGTATGTGATGCTCTTCGCTGAATTGCGCTCCAGCCCTCATGGCTCTCCTGCTCCATGTTTAGATCTGATTTCATGCGTGCAGTGTCCAAGCCTTGAGTGGTCATGACTGATGTGTGTCTAATCTGCGCATCCAAAACTTTTGCCTGCACTGCTATCCAGGTAAGCGACATGGAACTTGGCTGGTTTCTACTACTTCAGGCGGCTAGGGACCAGATCAGCAAAGATTTGTGCAGCAACAAGGGCATCGCTTCTAGTAACAAGTGCCTTACTAGTAGGAACAAGAAGCTACTAGGGGCTCCTGGCCGTACTACTAGGAGCCAGAACGCTACTAGGAACAAGTGTGTCACCAAATGTTACCAGTTGCAAACCTCGCAGCCTTTGAAGTGTTCATCGTTGCTCACCGTTATGGCAAATGCATGTCACAAAATGCATGGCATCTCATGTGTGGGATGCTCCCATACCAAGTCTACCTGCTCACTCGTATCTACGTTCTCGCAAGTGTATTGACTGTAAGGTGAGAAGTAGAGCCTTGCAGCCTTACTGTAACTGTAAGAGCAACAAGTTTAACTTTGCTGTGTTGGTTGGGTGTAGCACAATAGCAAGACTTGACAAGTTGTCCATCACAAAATATCTAAACGCCGCTCATGTTCAACATGCTTCATGGACCCTCGAATCTTTTCGGCACCCGCTGTCACGTGGAGCAGCCGCTCAAAAGGCACTGCAAAGGCCAGCGGAGCCTTTGAAATGAAAAGAACGGACAACACGATTTGTGCAGAAATTCATCTCGCTCCTGCTCGGACGCAGGGACAGAGCCAGAAGGCCTAGCCATGAGGTGAGGACGACTTTCGGGCAGAAAACAAATGATTGAACTGTAGGTGAGGCTGAGTCTGCCACATGCCCACTACGAAAAGACGAAATCGATTCAGGTTGTAGACGCCTGGTTGTGCAAAGTACCTGGCAACCAGAACTGTCGTTAAGTTTCCCTAAACATCTAGGAACCAAATTCATAGCATGAGCGTCCAGTTGCTGGCTTGCAAAAAAAAGAATGCTCTGGGCCGTCGCACGCATGGAGGGTGGCAGAGTGGCTGGTGTTTGGAGGTCTGCAGGGCAGCAAAGATCGAGTCAAACTTTTGTCCCAATGAAAAAAGCCTCTGTAGGGCCCGTGCAAACTGATGATCTCTGATCGTTCACATCCAATCCAGGCAATGTCTGCAGTGGACTCCTCTGGGGCAAGAACAAAGTCAACTATGGCAAATAGCACAGGAAGAATCAACACTCTAAGCGGCCTTACTTGTCAGCTTGTTCAATCTTGTGCTTGGCTCCATAACACAACGGCTGAGCACCGGACCGCTACAAAGTAGAATGAAACAGAACCAGCCAAAGACCTCGTTTCTGAAATTCTAGTGGAACACACACTTTGCTTGGCATTAGGAATGTCTTCAGAGGTGAACTCAGGACTCAGGACCATGCGCGTTGCGAATCCGGACCGTCACGGGAACCATTAAATCCGCTTCCTTCAGAGCCGCCAAAATGAGACTGCGTCAGACTGCGTGATGCACAGGAAACATCTCTGCAATTTCACGTGCTGGCCATCTCTGCAACTTCTGGAGCTAGCAAATGAAGATCTAATGGGCATGGAGGAGCCTCAGGACCTGGGCGGTACGGACCAACAGGCTGTGGTTAAACTTCCTTGGACAGCTTAAACAGCTGCATGTCACCATCGGTCGCCAAGACACGTTCCAGTGGCACCTGGAGAGCACAAGCCTGGCAGTCAGCATTCCCCCACTTGTCAATTACCCCTTCTTTTGGAGAAGCACAGTACACTCCAAGTCGTCAGGATTGCAGACGACCAACTGATTGGCACCTTCAAACCTCCCAAACCATTCAGCCTGAAACACCTGACCTTGTCTCGTATCTGCGGCAAATGATGGCAAATGCGTCCCACCAACCGTCACCGGGACCTCGCCGGCACGATCTCCTTGTCGCCACTGAACTACCAAATCAACCGGAGGCGCCATCTGCAAAGGTTCCTTCTCGCGTCCTTGAAAGATTGCTGTCCCACACTTCAGCCACAGAATCACGTGTCTCAGCGTATTTTGAGACTTCCAGTTCTCATCGAACTCACTTGATCTCTCATACTGTACATGCTCATACACCTCTTTCCACAAATACTACGTTCTGTCTTGGCAACCGAAAATCGTAACCATCTACCACACTTGGCTGCTTTGCTTGTTTCCAAGCAGTCTGGGCGGCCCAGCTTGAGCTCCGCTTCGAGGCCTTGGGACTTTTGGACGGAACCTACTAGCTTCTAGCTACTAGTAGCTTCTTGTTACTACTAGTAAGGCACTTGTTACTACTAGCGATGC